AGACTTATAATTGAAATAACTTTCCCTTTTCAGGTAAAAGTTGATTCAATATTCTTCAGACNAAACCCAGGATTTTCATCTAATTCTCAATTTAACGCTCGCAAAGTTCTTCAGTTTATCAATGGTACAGAAAATGTAGAAACTAAAGAATTAGAAATTAACGACGAAAACAGCAAGAGTGATCACTTATATGAAATTAAAACGAGTGGAAAATATATAGATAGGTTTAGAATGTTTATCATTCCAGATAAAAAAAGAAAATCATCTTTCATTTAGTGAATTTCAAATGATATTGGAAACGGAAAGTCCTCCATCAATGAATATCATTAGAAACCCAGTACCACTAACAAAAAATATAAGCAGTTATCAGTTTTTACGAACGACAGACTTTGAATATGTAAAACTATATTTTGCTAATAATAGTTTTTCACTCGAACTTTCCTCTACAATTGATATATTTACCTCAATCGATATTCATAAAAGTCAACAAGATAAAGAATTTATAATATTTTCATCAATTATTGAACGTAATGATGGAAGAGAAGTTGGAGGTATATATACCTGTAGATGTAAAATAAGAATCAATATCGAAAAACCAAAAATTTCAATTCATCAAAATAAGATTAATGATTCGAAAGAACAAATATCCTTAGTAACTGTACAAGTTCTTATTACTTTACCTGAAATAATTATAACAGATAATAAAAAAATAAATAATAAACGTCTTATTGGGAAACCTATTGTTGATCTTTATCACTTTCCATCTTTTGCTATATCAGAAATTCACTTAATTTAATTACCTAAAAAATGGAACTCGAAAGTAGACAAAACTACATGATAGAAAAACAAAATGAACTAAAAGAAAAACTAAAACAATTCAACAAATGCAGAAAAACATGGAGTAGAATCGATTCTTTTTTCAAAACAGCGAGCACAGTTCTAACGGTAGGAGTAATGGTGGCAACGGCAGTGACTGGTGGATTAATGCTTCCGATTATCGTCCCTACTGTATTGGCTGCATTAACAGCCGTTCAAACAACCTCTTGCGGCCTGATTGCTATAGGTTTTACGAGCAAAAAGAAAGCTCATTATAAAAGGAAAACAGAAATTTTAAATACATATCTTAATAAATTGTTTATATTTTTCGAAAGATCGAGAAGACAAGAACATAACAGTTGGAGAATTAGAAAAATTCAATGAAATTTTAGATAAATTTGATGTAGAAATTTCATCAATAAAAGTTAAAAATTCCTAATTAAAAATAGATACTTAAAAAAAGAATGGATAAAATTGAAATTTCAGACGATGAAACATTCATATCAAATGAACTTTTTTCCAATGTTATTGAGCTTATCGCTCAAGAATTTAGAACATTTAACGGGCAAATTGAATTAGATGGAGAGATAACTCAAGATGGAAAATACAAACAAGACATGAAATTTGTAGGTTTTAATACCATGACTTTTGTCAATTTCTTCATTGCGCTGGATGCTTCTGATTGTATTTCACAGGAAAAATGATTTTCCGTAAAAAGAAAGTTCATTATAAAAGGAAATTTTAAATACAAATCTTAATAAATTATTCATTTTTTTCGAGACAAGAACAGTTGAAATATCAATAAAAGTTCCTAGTTAAAAATAGATGCTTAAAAAAAGAATGGATAAAATTGGAAATTTAAACGAACCATTATCTAAAACATATTTTTCATATTCAATTCAATACCTAATATATTTTCAACCAAATTTAGTGAAAAAGATAATGAAGAATTTGATTATATAATTGATGATGTATCTGAAGTTTTTGAAAAAGAGGAGAATGAAATTAAAATATCCTCAAATATGCTTTTTTCAGAATTAATCAAGAGAATAACTATTCTATTTAAGGATTTTAAAATTAAAGGTCAAATTGAAATAAATGGTCAAATAAATCAAGTTGGAAAACACAAACAAGACATGAGATTATCTGGATTCAATGCTCAAACTTTTCAAGCTATTTATACAAAGATTCATGGTATATCTGATACCTCTGATTGGTATTTTACAGGAGAGATTATTTTCCGCAAAAATAATTTTAGAATAGTAAAAAGATCTAAAACTGGCAGAGGAGGTAATCTACTTAAAAAGATAAATGAATACATAGGAGAAAATTGTTACATACCAAGCGATGGATATTGTTTTATAAAGTGCGTAAATATCTTCATGAATAAAGACTTAACAAAGCAATTTCAAGATTTCATCAACAGTTTTCCAAAATCAAACAGAAAAGGAGTCATGACAACTGCTAGAATCTGTGAATTCAATAAGAAATTTAATACTAATTTTCAAATGTATATGCCCAAACATAGACATTTTCAACCAAAGAAAGTAACCGAGGAATTAGATTGGGTTTTTTACTTACACAAAGAACATTTCTGTTTGATAAGAAGAAATAACAAAGCATTGGGCATTAAAGAAATAGAAGATAATTACGATGAAAACGCATGGAGAACTTGTAAAGATGATGACGCGCTAACGTGTTTCGCTCAGTTAAAACTAAACGTTTTTTTCGACCATATCCGTTAACTGTTTATACGCTTGGGATTGCGAAACCTATTGCGAAAAAGGAAACGAATAAAGCCATTCCTTATTGTTGTACTTTAGTTAATTTAGATAAACTGAGGAAAAGGTTAGATGATTATAATAATTATTTAAGTGATTTAAGTGATTTTAATGAGACTCTAGATTTTAAGCCGTCAGATCCCATTTCAGAAGAATATTACACCATCTCATGACTAATATAGTAGAAATATTTGTAGGTACAGATTGTATAGATCAAATGTTACAACGTTTAGGAAAAGTAGATCAGAAAAGACTAACCTTAATTTCCCATAACGGTAGTGGTTTTGACAACTGGATTGCACTTCAAAGCGTTAAAAAACTAACGCAATGTCCACTAGTAATAGATAATAAAATTCTCTCTTCCTTTATCTAATCCATATACAGAAGAAAGATTGCAGAAAAAATGGAAAAGACAGAAAGAAATAATGAGTAACTCTAACTATTTACAAAATATATCTTTCACCTGTTCATTTAAACATCAAAGCACTAGTTTGGCGGCCTGGGGAAATTCGTCTAATCTACCGATGAATTTGAGAAAGATTGCGGATGTAGACATTGCATAATACACCAAAGATAATTGGGAATCTTTAAGACCCGAATGGGTCTCGACTTTCTTATTGCATCTAGAAATTTGGAGTATGCTACTAAATCCTTATAATCGGCAATACCAACAACATCCTCGCCATTCATTAAATCTATTAATCCTCTCGTTAATGTGTATATATAATCTTTCGTATCGATTATAAATTCGGAGGTATTTGGACTAAATCTTATTCTAAAACCATTTAACATTAGCCCCGCTTCATCAATGATTGGTTTAATACTCTTCGGTAAATCTGGGTCAGGGTTTGAAAAATAATGTTTTACATCATCTACTGTCCTAATTATAATACCATGATATTCAATCGCTTTGGGGGGTTCTATAGGAGCTAAGGGTTCTAAAGGAGGGATAAGTCTTTTTTTTAATATCCTCTTGAGATTTTAATATGGGTTGAAATAGAGTTTGTAGATTTTCCGTTAATCCGAGTTGTTGCAATCTGTTATTTTCAACTTGGGTCTTTATTTTATTCTTAGCTTTAATATATTCTCTATTTCTTTTTAAAATATTATTCCAATTATCCATTTTAAAAAAAATAAAATTAACATATGCCGATCATAACTCTTTCACCCGCAGGTTTTCTAGTATTTACAAATACATATCCATGTTCATCTGGGTTTCTCCATTGAGCTTTACAAACCTTTCTAAATGCATCTCTGTCCATTCCGTGGTTTATCGACTGAATGATTTGAGATAAATCTTTATCGTTTAATTCAAATAATAAAAAACAATTTGCTTTTTTTCTAATGAACATAGAATCCATCCCGTAAAAAGATTGGGATATGCAGTGACATTTGTGATGTCTTCCCTTCGTGAAGAATTCTTGTTGAACAGCTTGATTTCTTTGCGCTACGCAGTCGTCAAACAATATTAAGTTCTTTCGTTTGCTATCAATATTAGACAAGTCTAGATCATTAACATTTTTCGTAAGAAAAACTTTTATATCCGTTGGATTCTTTCCTTCGATGTAGTTATTTATGATATCTTTTATTTCCACTTCTTCTTCGTAATATAGAAATAGGTCTTGAACATCTTTCTTTGGTAGATATTCTAAAGCTTTGAGAAATTGATAATACGATTGCTCTGGTGTTGTTGTGTAGATATACAGAGAATCGAAATCTAAAAGGTTTGGTGTTGTCAACATGTTAAAAGTGAGATGAGTTTTCCCAGAACCGGAACTACCGCATATACACATGAACATTGGGTTATTAGGAAATATTTCTGAATGATTAAATTTTTTATCCATTTTTTATTATTTTAATTTGTTCCAAAAACCACTCCATCTCCTTTATACTTTGAAAGAAATATTCCTTCTCCAGTGTGTATATTTTTTAAAAATATTCCATTACCCTTATGTTTGACTTTGACTTCACCCGTGTCAATACTATCTACTAATTTATTTAATCCTTGTTTAACAGTTTTCTTGGTTTCTTCCCCAAATCTTTTTCCAAATTCTTTTATTGTGCCTATCATTTCTCCCACTCCTGAACCTCGTGCCTCCTTTTCAATTGCTAAATTATGTCTGCGTTCTTCAGCGGCTTTAGCATCAGCTGGTTTCTTTGCGTTGGCAGCTTTGACTGCGGCAGACATTCTTCCAGTTGCTACACCCGCCGCGGTAATACCAGCAAATATTAAAGGAAGGAGAGGTAAAAATCCACCTTCTTTTGCGTTCGCGTCAATTCTTTCTAAGTCTATATCGTCTCTGACTTTACAATATTTATATTTATCAATAAGTTTTTTAGTTATGTTGATTTTTTTTACCATTGAAAGTTATTGTAGTTGGTGAAGCTGTTTCAATAGCTTCTATTATTTTCATAACTAAAGTTTCTGCTTTCATTTTTAAGGGTGTATTTATTACTCAATTCTTATCATTCTTCTATCTGCTACTTTAATTAAATGTTTTGCTTCTTCTAATAATAAAAAATAATCTGTTACATCTCCTTGTGTTTTTTCAATATGAATATTTATGTTGACTCCTGTTTTGAAAAGATCTTCTTGGTGAGCTGATAGATCAAAACAGAAGATTGGATGATTAAGTCCAAAATCTACATATTCAAACTGAGGTGGATTTCCAAATAATTCACACATGTTTTTATAGTTTCTATATAATTCATTATAATCCTTTGTGGTTGGATTAATTGTTAAAGGTTGGTTAGGATAATTATCGTTGTTTAATCTTACTTGAATTTTATGGATTAAAGGATCTTGAGTTTGGTTCAATGCCACTCTAAAGACATTATTGTTATTCATTTGAGAATCTGGTAAGTTCTTGAAACCAACTATTAAATATCTTGCTGGTTTAATAGTGTTAGTGATTGGCCACGTGGTGGATTCTCCCGTTAAAGTCATGCTACCTACCGTATTACGATGAAGAAAAACTATTTCAATATCTTTAGTTAATGAGTTGAATATTCTCGTTTCTACTTCAATTGATGGTGTTATTACGGATATGAAAAGTTGGAGATTCGTTATTTCTAATTTTGCATCTGAACCATTCTCTCCAAAGAATATCTTATCGTCGTTGATTTCTCATTGTAGATGAATTTTATATGGTAACCCTATGGAAACTTTTCTGTGTTCCAACAGACCAAATAAAGGATATAATTTCCAATTTACGTAATTACGCCACCTATTATTCTCAACAACATTATTATACTGAAGTACTCGTTTTTCGAATCCATGATTAGCTACTCGTGCTACTCTTTCTATTGTGTTTCGAGTAACAACTCTCACGCTAGCTAAATCAGCATCATTTGCAAGATTTCTCACCGGTTCTTTTAAAACACTTCCATCGCCAACATCGGGTATCCAACCCGAGACTGAATCGAAATCTTTAGGATATAAAACTGTTTTCAACATTGTGTCGAATTCCCAAGGATGTTTGATTGTTTCTATCGGATTTGAACCAGCTTCCAAAATAAAGATGGAAAGAAATTGTTTTCTAACGTTGTATTTGTTTGAGGAACACGATTTTGATTGGGAGTTTCATCTTTAATTTTGAAATCGCATCTGAAATAAGCATCGGAAATAAGCAACCAATTCGATAATGAATTTATTTCGAAGGTAATTCTACCACCATCATTCAATTGGGATTTAGAACCAACAGTGGGTGAGATGATAATATAATCCTCTTTTTTCTTGTTAAACGAATAACGAATCGGATCGTATAATCTAAAGATTGGATCTAGTATTTTATTTGCCATTTTTAAGGTTTAAAATTTGAGTAGAAAATTTCCAAAAAAACATTATTCTAATATGCTTTTTTGATGGAATGTAGGAAATTGATTGAAGGTGTTTTAGGTCTTTTTTAAGTGTAAGAATTTATGAAATGTAGGATGTAAGAATTTTATGAAATGTAGGATGTTTTGCTGTAAGAATTTATGAAATGTAGGGAATTTAGGCCTTTTTGGGAGCTTATATATTGGTCGCATTTTCCCCATGAAATGAAATGGAATGGGGAATCCCCATGCGACCAATCTATGAGCTCATATACTACTGACGTCGTCTCGCACTAGAGGTTTTAAATTTAATGGATGTCCTCTCATATTCAAAATAAGTATGTTACCATAGGGCCTAATTTATGGGACAATAGTCCTATCTCTACCCAATACATTTACAATTCTTTAAATTGAGGTCAATGTGAAGAACCTCTTCTCTGTGGCGATTGAGGATTCAGCGCCGACTTGAAATGTCGAAATAAGTCCGAAAAAGGTAAGCCTACGAGCGAACGAATTTTTTTTTTTTAATTTAATCTTTTTTATTTTTTTGAAAGTCATTGATTTGGGTGGTGCGATATAATTTTTAAAAAAGATATTCATTCAAAGGTCTACTATATAAGATTTATTACATTGCAAAGAAAAATACATGTTGTCTTTGATGGCTGAAAAAATTGACAAGAGAGATCTATATGACTGATATGAAAATTGAATTTTATGATTGTCACAAATATTTTTGGGGGTGCTTCTTTTATCTCATGAATTACCTGAGTTCTGAAAATTACAAAATAAAATATTTGGTTCAAATAAGGCATGTATATGGTTTTGTTTGATAGTAAATTTTGGCTTTAACAAAGGAAATAGATCTAGGTGCCTCTTATTTTTATATAATTCAAAAATAAATCATAGGCATGCAGTTTTGAACTCTGGTCAAAAATTCAGGTGGAAAAATTGTTGAATTCAAAATCAAATTTGATAAGAAAAAAAAAAAATTTAATAGGTCCTTATAATTCTCCCAAACACTCATTCCTGGTTTTGTTTTCATAAGTACTTTGACCAGCATTTCATGGCATCCAACCGAAGGTGAAAAGAAATACAATATCTATAGGGAAGCCCACCTCTATGATTAGAAACTCCGTTAACAGAGACAATTTCTTGGTCTAGACCTCAGCTTGTCACTTACTGCAGAACTGATCGGTCGTAGAGGGCGCAATTTCGTCACTTTCGATACCTTTTTTTCTCTCAAAATTAAAATGTTCTGAAATTCATGTGCGGACAATATGATTTTTATTTCCAAATAAAAATTTCGAAAACGAAAAATCGGATATGGAATTCTCGACGAACAGAAAATTATCTTGGTATGGCCTTAAACAGTATGACAATACACCAATCGCAGCTAATAAACTTAATGCACAACGGCGCATTCCTAACTATGAAGATCTATGCGGGCTTAGTAGGGGCGTCCACCAAAGGTCTCATACCAATCCCACCTGAAGATTAAAGATATTTGATTATCCATTGTAAACTTTCTCAACTTCCGGCACATTGTAATCTTTGAGATTGCAATCGGGGGATCTTTTCATATTAAGACACCCAATATTTCTTCATCTGCAGGCAAGTTTGTCTTGGGAAAAGTGTTCTTGGGCAGTTTATGCAGAAAATTGTGCTCACCATTAACTATTGGTATTAGTAGGCAGTAAAATGACAGTGATTAATTTCGGCTAAGGAATTTTTAAAATGCTGCCATTTGAAATTTTTTCAACCCAGGAAGCTAATTTTTTGTGAAAAGATGACTTGTATAATTGACTTTGATGAAAAGTGTTATCGTTTTTAGAGTTCACCCGATATATCGAACGGTCGTTGTATGTAACAGCTTGCAGCACCATGTCAAATACTTTACAGGTTAAGTAGGGTTAAATTTAGTTTGACAATCTATTTTACCAATTAATATCACCAAATAATAGGCGTAGGAAAAAAAAAGGGGGGAGGGGGGTGGTAATCTCGGGCAGACAAGTAGTGTTTTCGGGCGATGCTAAAAAATAATAATGTTCTGAAAGAAAATCCACCGAAAAATAAAAAAAATCGGGAAATTACCCGAGAACTAAAAAAAAAAAAAAAAAAAAATACAGGAAAAATTATCATTGGATCCAACATTATACCTTCATGATATTTTCAGATTGTTGTTTTGACGTTCATAACAGTGTTTAGCTATAGTGAGTGTTTTGCAATATTATGTGTTACACGTACATTTTTATGAATTACACCTGTGAGAGAAACAATTTTGAATTCAAAATGGCGCCAATCACAAATGAATAAATGCTATTACCTATAGATCTATATCGACTGTTAATTGTGTCTTAAAAATTTACAAACGAATTCACCCATGGCGGTATTCAATTCAAAATTGGAGTGTATAAAACATATACGATTGTTTTTATTTCTGGCAGCTATCAACTTGTTTTTTGGACATCGGAAACAAATTTATAGCCGATATTTGGATATAGAGAAATCAGCATTTATAGGTTTGTAAATAAAATGAATGGAGTTTAACGACATACACTTCTGCTTTATTAGCTATTAAAAAGTGGGAAACCGCATGTGGTGTACTTATCGGGATATCTTTACACACAACACAGTCTGAAGGCATGTGATGGATGCCTTTTTGAAATTAAAAATGGCAGGTTTTATTTTGAATAAGAATATTTGGCATTACAATAACAATCACCAGTATTAAATATTCAACCTTCAATCATACACTTCTTTCGAAATTTTAGGGGTGATAAAGAACAATATTACCAAGTTTTGTCAAAATACGGCAAGAAATTGTGTCTGCTAGAGTGCATCTAAAAATTGAACGCGTTTTACGATTTTCGGGTTTTCATTTTGTGAGTAAACCGCAAGGTCTTATTGTATTGGAAAATCCTATATTCAAATGGGTTAGGTCGTACTTATTTCTATATGAATAATAGCAGTTTGCTACCCACAACACATGGCGGTGAAAACCTTAAAATCGTTTACATGGTTTATCATTTGGAAAGACCGACTTACATGGGAAACGCTCCGCATTTGAGGGACATTCTGCTTTTTTTTGTAGGTCGTAAAAATGTTTTGGCTCTAATTTGTGAAAACTAAACACCAAAATCTTTAACGTATCTGAATGTTTTAAGTGAAAAAAATATCCAGCTGTTAATTTTTAAACGCCCAAATATTTTTAGAGCCGTTATAAGCCAACACCAAAAACTATGTCCAACTGATACATAAATATAATTGCATGTAGTATGCTTTAGAAATGTTTATAATTTATGATGTTTTTGATAATGAAAACTTTTTACATAAAAGTGGAATACTCTTTTAAATCAAAATTCAGTAAGAAAATAAACATGTATGCTAAACAAACAGTCGTATAGCTGTGTACGGAAATTAATCGATATATTCATAAAATGTACTGTCTATTGCAGGTGAAGTCGTACGTTTAAATGGACCAATGCTTGACAATGAGTAGAGGACTAAGAATTAAATTCCTTTTTAAGTTTATTATATTTTCTGTATTAATTCTATGCTTTTTTTATTCATATAACGAAAAGTACCTCAAAATTAATCAAAAATTACTTGTGACCCGTGGGTTGAACGAAAGTGTTTCTGCGTCAACTTATTTCAAGGAGAAACTGTTTCTAAATGATACAGAAAATTCAAGAACATTAGCAAAATGGCCTCAAACGTATAAACCAAAGAACCAAGATGAAAACAGAGAATCAAGATTCCAGCTTGTCGACGATATCAAAGAAACATTTGTATATTCAGCCTTTTATGACGGTCGTGGAAATCCTGTTATAACCGTGATTGTGATTGTAAAGGCAGATAGATTGGATGAAAAGTTAGAGTCAGATAGATACAGTTGCATTGCTGACCCGTCTAAAAAATATTTATCAGCATCTTTAGAATATATCACAGAACCAAATTGGGGTTATAAGTAAGTACTTTTATAGTTGAGTCAACATTACTAATAATCCACTGCTCGCAGCAGCCAACAAAGGCTAATACTGCTACAAGCAGCTAACAAGGATGAAATTAGGCCTAATTAAAAAAATAATATTCATAATTCCATGGTTATACCTGAAACCCGACATTTCTCGTGCCCTATCGAAGCTACTACTGCAGACATTGGCCGGAGGTATCTTATTAGGTACTAATAGACTAATAAGATACTCCAACTAATGCGAGCAGTAGTAGATCATTTCCGAGAAGTGGGTAGTACAGGCTATTATCTGAGGTCACTTATAGTACTGGACTATTGCTAATTGGCCACTGATATTACCGCGTTATTGGTACTGGACCTCTGATAGTTCCTGGATATTGTAACTGAACCTTTTACAATTACTATATATTATTATATTACTGTTTTTAACCGGCTATATTGTAACTAAAGCCATGGCAGTACCTGGGTCGCTACTTATCTACTGATAATACCAGTTTTTTTCGATTCTTCTGATTTTGAATAGGGTTCATCCATGGGTGATTACAAACACCCACACAACGTTTTAGTGTCTTCCCACTTTGCAAATCCCCAATTTGCTCCTACAATATTCCCTTTTCGTCCATTCTCCAGTAACAATAGCCTAGTACTTACAGTGTTCTAGTTATAAT